AGCAGTGTACCGGGGCGAGCAACGACGATTCCGCGCCTCGACCGCATAACGGTCCGTTATTTTAGAGATAGGACCGGACTTCAAAATTTGAACAAGACACCGAATTCGGACCGGATCACACTTTAAAAAGTTAAACAGAAGACCGAATTCGGAGTGAACCCGTGGCTAAATATTGATTTTAAACCGGACCGGACCAATAATTAAATTTAATCGATTAGAGTAGACCGGGACCGGACTCTGCCGGTTCGATCTCAAAAACAACATTTTGTTGACCGTATACGGACCGGACCGTGTGGTTCAGTCAATACTATTAAAAAATAGCCCAGACCGGACCATACGACTCTATGATAATACTCGGTATGATATAATGTTGTTTAATATTCCGAGATTACGTGTTATGATTTATGATTTCTACGAACAAAAATAATATTATATCCATTGACCTTCATTTCTGACGAGTGGCAGTCGATGACATTTACGGACAACCGACATTTAGTAATCAATACAATTACAATCACTTCATAAATAAATAATATATATGTACCTATATACCCATAGTTGTGGGTTTTTTTATTTGGTGTTTTTCGTTTTGTTCGTATTACATAACAAATAACAATAATATAATATAATTTAAATTTTGAGTAGCTGGTACTAGGTGTTTGAGACCGGACCGAAGCGAACTAATTTTCATTTTTTTTTTTTTTTTTTTTTAAACCGGACCGGACTGATAATAATGCATTTTATCCGAGGACTAGACCTCCCCGAATTAGTCCTGCTGAAAAAATATTGAACCGGACCGAATCGACAGTTATCGATAGTTTTTGTACGTCAGGACCGGACCAGACCGGAACCTAGGGTTCCGGGGTCGGGGGGCGTGCGACTCCGGCTGCCACCGGACCGCAGACTCGGCCGGGGCGAAATCTACGCAGAGCGTTCGCGCTGTGTCTCTCTCTTTCATCCCGCGGCGTTTCCGTCGCGGCCGAGTCGCTCCTCTCGGTTATCTCGTCGATTTCGCATTTCCGCGGCATCGCGACGTTTCCGTTTCCTCCGCGCGTTTCTTTCGGTCTCCGACGTCCTTCGCCAGAGTCATCGTCGTCTGCCGCGCCGTCGACGCGCACGGCATCGCGCTCGCCGTCAACCGTCGCTTCCGCGGTCGAAAAGCTGTCCGCGGGCCTCGTCTGTCGCGTGTCACGGTCGGTCGCGTCGCGTACTCGAGCCAACGTGCCAGAGACACTCGTCTCCGTCTGCGAGACCGGCCACGAAAACGATGCGGAGGTGACCACCTCAGAGTGGCCTCTATACATCTTACTCGCTATTTATATTTTGCACCCGTTTCGCCATCTCGTATCCCCCTCATCCTCCTTATTATTGTGTCGTCCTCCCGATGTATTCCTCCGCCCCTCCCATCTTTGTTCAATCTTGTTTTTCCTTTTTATTTTTTTACTTATCCAAATTGTACATTTTCTTTTCGTCATTCGTATTACCCGCTAATACGTTTTGTTTACATTTTTTTTTTTTTTTTCACGTTTTGCTAGACTTTTAAAAATATACATTTTTTTTTTCAAATTATTTCATAATTCAAAAATCTAAAATAAACTGTTTGAGCACTTGAGCCGCATTTCTTTTTTTTTTTTTTTAAAGGCTAATATTTGTATTTATATTTCATACGTTTTGTTTCGAATTTTTTCGAAAAATGTCTTTTGTTAAATAATGTTAATAAAATTAAAAATTGTATTTTTTTCGTATTATTAAGTACATAAATCAATTATTACAAAACTAATAACTTAGTATCATGCATATCATACACTATAACGTAATGAATTGTTTGAAAATCGAAACAATTATTATGTCAGTTAATAAAATATGCATTATTTATCATAGATTTAGACAGAACTATCAAACTATTACTGTTATAATATAATATAATAATAATTTTGGTAAGCTTTATTCATGTTTCAGTTTATGCACATTAATTAATTATTATTATATATTGTATAATGTGTCATGTATGAATATTTATTTGATAAATTACATAAATATTTTTATCACGAATTTACGAGCATTAAAATTTATGTGTAATTAATGTATAGAGCCTGTCATGCATTAAAATGTTTAATAATTTCTAAACTAATCGTTGTTCGTCTAGTTTCACATAGTGAATTTTTACATATTAAAATGTCAAACTACTGCCTAATGTTTAAAAATCTCATATAAAATCGAAAAATACAATTGAAATACAGAAAATTAGAGAGAAAAAGTGTATGAAAAATACTGAAATAGCTCTTAAATAGTTTTTAAAATTACTTTAAAAATATGCTCACATAATAATATGTCTGAACCACTTATCATTTCAAAAAAAGTGAAGTATTTATTAAAATATGGAATTCTGGTATTTGGTAAAGGATGTAATAAATTCACGGAATATAAACTGAAATACTAGGAATTTGATCATAGTATATTTATAAATACTGAAATTGATGAATATATTTTTTATTGTAATGAGATGCTCACATATCATGATTCAATATTGCTTATACTTAACTACTCAATAAAATAAATAACAGTCAAGTTGTCGCACACAGATAATCGTTAAAAATCTTATAAATACAATTATACGATCTATATTATTTAATCAAGTAGGAACTCACACGTAGTTGTAACAATTGGCGCAACACGTGTGATCTATTTCGTGTGCCACCAAAGACAAGGGATGGCCAATGATGGTCTTTGTCGGCTAGGAGAAAGCCAATTTCTTTAGAAAACGCGGAAACCTTTATTGGAGCCGCCTGCGAATCTGGCTGGCTTGACCATCTCATCAGTGCATGAGAACCATCCAAACTGTCAAGTGCTAGCGCATCTACCTCACGAGCAAGAGTTCTCCGCACCACTGTACAAGATTTTGTGAGCGACAACTGGACTTCTTCCTTTTTAATAAGTTAAACCAGAGTTGTTTTTTATTATTTAAATTTAAATTTTCCTTAAGTTGTTCTCTAATCAGTGTTACCTTACTTCTTCCCAAAGAACATACAACAGACATTCACTACGGCGAATCTGGTAAGGTGCATGACTAAAATACTTATTATTACTATAGCTTTTTTTAATACTAAATTTACGTAACGGTGTATTTGATTACTTTTACGAGACACGACCTCGAGAACCCTTCGAAGATCAGGAGGAAGGTAATAAGTAATAACTATCTTTTAGAAACTTCACTTCTATATTTATATCATATTTTTCTTATATTTTACGTTATTACAGTATTTTGATCAAGATTTATCGAAAGAGTTATCGGTTAGAATAATAATAATTAAGTAAAGCTTATATTAGAGTAAAATCAAACTTTCCTTCTTTCGTGTTATATTTACATAAAAATTGGTACAACTTGCCCGCCGTAATTATTATTATAAAAATAAATTAACTACACAAATCGTTGTACAATTAAATATTCATAGTTTCGCTCAGAATTTAAAACAATTAATTCTGGACTTCAAACTTCACCATACATTTCATTAAATAATAATATATTGTACTTAAATAGTTTCAAATAATATGTTCCTATTCGTATTTTAAAATATCTTTGTAATTTTTATTACAAAGATCAAAAATATTAATAAATTTCTCTATAGGTATTTCCATATTTTATTCTAACCATAATAATTAAAATATCTGAATATTATGACTATGTAATATTGTTGTAATCGTTTTAATAAAAATAATATACGATAGGTATCTTCATGAAAAATGTATTATTTTAAGTATTACCGAGGTAGTAATTTTATTTTTAATTCTAAAATTTATACCAAAGACATTAAATTTATAATCTTGTAAACAAAAATGTATTCAAACATAAACCGTAATTTACATACTAACTATGTATCAAAAAACAAAAATAGTTATTTTGAAATTATTGTGTTTAATAACGATTATTCTGAAAGTTATAATTTGCATAATAAACAGTAATGAATAGTAGATTAAATTGTCTACAGAATCTATACCTAAATCATGTTCCACATAAAATATCTACGTGTTATTTGTATCAGTTAACTATTTTCTATTAGTTTAACAAATCAGACCTTCAGATCCAACTAACGTAGACTAGTAACATAATAATAATTAAAGTATTATTAATTGTGAACGGTGGTACTCTCGCTTCACTTGGTATTTTGTAACAAATGCAAAACTATGCTTTTACGCATATTGAAGCTGAACTTCTGTTCTATTCTGTTAAAATATATTATTTAATTATTTTGTAGATTTTTATTGATAAAAGATAACACAATTTAATAAATATAATTATATTATCACTTATAAATTAAAGTCATAACTTTATCATAAGCTATATAGACTACTTTTTAATAAAATACAATTTTTTAAACATTATTATTGTATATTTATATGCTTAATGTATTAAATATATAGTATTTCAAATATTCAGATTATATTGATAATAATTTTAATATTTTCATCCTTAATCAAATATAAAAAGATAGTTCATGCGAACGGTTTTAAATATTACCTATTTAATTTGTCCTTATAATTATTGAATTAATAAAACATTTGCACCTGCTTAAATTTAATAAAATCGAGCCAATAAAATAGACTATTGAGTAACTTATTGATCATTTATAGTGAATTTATCTATATCCATATAAAAAATTGATTAAAAAAATATTTAAAGTTTACCTAAGTAAAAAATAGATTTAAAAACATTTAAAAAAGATAAGTACTAAATGATAATTTCAAAATATCGCTTAAATCATTAATCAACAACGTTGTAAACTTGTAACTTATAATCAAGTATACAATCTTGCGATAAACACAACTCTTTAATTAAAGAATTGTGATTTGTCTATCTAATTTTCTTTAAGCTATATTAAATTGCCTATCAATAAAAACATGGTAATTTAAAAATAATAATTATCACAAGTCATAACCTACAATTAAGTATAAAAAAATTTTACTAAATAACAATTTCCGTAGTATTATAATGTTTTAAATTATTTGATCCATTAAACTAAAATGTTTTTCGTAAGAAAAGTTTTTCTTAAAACATAGTATTGGTAATTTATTTGTCATTTTGATCAAGTTGTTGATTCGCATACATCATTTGATTATTCAGTACTTCATTTTGTTCAACAAAAACATCACGAAAATCTATCAAGTCATTGTAAAGTTCATCTAATAAATAAAATAATAATGATATAGTATTTAACTTTTATACTATCAAGTATGGGAGACCTGATCCTTACCGTTGTAGAAGATATGAGATTTTCCAAATCCCCCTACTTCTTCTGGCAACTCATTTCTCGATACATAATTGAAAATATCGTCTGAACCGACTGGATGAAGTTTTATCTAGAAAATGATCAAATAAAATTGTATTAATTAACTAGATAAACCACAATCAGTATTATAATAATTTTATAACAATATAAAATAATTAATTAAATTATTGGAGTGTGTAAAGAAAATATATTATTAAATATTCCAGACATTTATTATATTTATTTTATACATATAAAATAACTGTGAAATTAAAATATACTACAATTTTTGTGTAAATTCAACGTAAAATATGTAGGCCGCTGAAATTCAATTTCCAATAAATAGTTCAAAAATAGACAAAATATTTGAAAATTATATTATGCATAAAAAATTATAAACACTTAGTAAAAATTCCACGTAATAAGTATCTACGGTTATTTGTTTTCGCGTTACACAGTTTTTCGAAAACTGAATTTGTGTGAAATTCCTATTTTTTCCTTGAATATTTTATGTTTTTTCCAATTGTTAAAAAGTACAAAGTTTGTTTTATTTTTGAACCCTTGAAGTACTAACTAAATCAAATTTTCTATCAAAAATCACTCTCTCGTAGTTTAATATCAAAGTATTTTTACTGTCTCAAAATATAACGAGAAATACCCCAAAAAAAAAATAAAAAAATAGGTACACATCGTTGTAAAATTAATATATTCATCGCTCTACGTAGAATTTAAAATAACGAAAATAGTAGATAAATTTTATTCTTTAATAATTGATTTATAGGTCGTAAAAACTATACTAATACAATAAAAAATTATCTATACAAGTAATGCAATACAAAGATCCCTTCAACAACAATCAAATTTGATATTTACAGGTGATTCTTTATTCAAAAAATACTTGTTATTTCCAAAACTATTAACACTTTCAAAAATAGTTTTCTTATATAATTTTAATTAACTAAAATATAAAAATTTTGAAAGCAAATTATACTTCTTGTTATTTTATATTTAAATTGTTTATATTTATTTTAATTTTTTACTTTTTTTAATGACAAACATTTTAATTTCATATTCCAATGTAAAATATTTTTCTGAATATTTTTCTGCATAAAAATTTAATTTTGAACGAATAGTTAATTGTTTATAGGTACGTCACATACCATGGTTAATCATTAATATTTTTTACTTTTTTCTTTATAAAATTATTTCAACATTGTTCGATCGAGTGAATTTCTAGCCGTCATTTTATAAATACATAAACCATTATTTTCAAGTTTTAAATAGTCGAATTAATATTCAGTAACGTTCCTTTGAAAATACTTAGCAGTCCTAAATTCCGTAGTATTCTAAAACCAAATGAAACGCACTAGATTTGTGTACACATATATATTTGATGTTTATTTTTCAAACACAAAAATCATGATAAAATTATCAAGAACGTTTATTATTCATTTCATTTTTTGTACGTATTTTAACATTGTTTATACATATCTTGGGTTTTCATCTGTGAATTTTAATACATAACATAATAATTTATTTATTTTAAATATTCCACAATTTAGTTAAAAGTATTTAAAATGTATACGATGAAGTGGAATACCCCTACAAAATGATAGTCCTATACTACGCTCATCTGTACCTTATATAATATATATATACATATTTTGAATGTTATTAAAAATAACTTTAAGTAAGTACAGTAGCTAAATTCATTAAAAATGTAATGGCATTAAAAATAATTTGAAAAGAAAGTCTTACTAGCTATTCATTTAATATTCAAATTTCAAAACCCAAAAACATGTTCTGCTCCAAGATATTAAATTAAAAATAAATGTTGTCATTCAAAAAATAAAAATATATATAACGATTATGGAAAAATATTTATAATTTTTGAGATTATTATTATATTAAGAATTAATTAAACCATCCTGTATAGTATATAGAGATTATTATTTAACATTATAATATTACTATATAGTACTGTGTTTTTTATTCACTATAAATAATATCATAACCACGAAAAATATAATTAATGATTACTGCATTCACGTTCACAGTACCTAAGGCACTCAGGTTACTGGACAACTCGTCAAATATGAAATAGTGGTTTTTCTGTGCATATAACTTGCCTACTTAAGCATGAATAAGAGTTAAATTGTACTTATAAAATGATACTCACATTCGCATCTAGAATATTTATAACACGATACTGTCAAAAAATATATCTGTATAAGGGTTATTCCTAAGCCTTTTGATTGCGAGGGAAAGATTGAACATTTACTATTTTTAAAAAAAGTGAATTAAAATATATAAAATTATAACTAATTGCAACAATATATTTGAATTGCTTAAAGTTACAATTTATAATAAAAAATTGTTTTCAAATTTCATTATTAAACTTTCATGTATAAAATAGAACTTAATCTATAAAAAAGAGCATGCGGGGAAAAGGGGCTATTGTTACGCTCAAAGACACCTGTGGCTCGCATACCTATACCTATTCAATGAGTAAGTGAGTAAGTTTAAGTGTGTATTTCTTATACTAATACGCTAATTTCGTATATTTATTTAGTTCCTCATATAATTTGAATTGTAACTAGAAACAATTCTACGTTCAAAATATCATAGACTTCAATAAATAATTATTTCTTAACCCTAAGGCATGCTATCAAACATATTAGATAATTATATAATATATGTATATAGGTATATTAAATTGTAATAATTTATAATATGATAAAATATAATAATACATTTTAAAGTTTTCTATCATTCATTTTTTTTTTTTTTGTGTACTAAAATGATGATACCTAACCTGTCCTACCTATTTATTTCTTTATTGTATTTCAAAATGTATTTTACCTTTTCTATTAAATCTTGATTAGCGAATCGCGTAACCATTTTCATTGCCATTTGCGTAGCTGATCCAGCATTCATAACATGTATAGCTTTTAAACGAATTGGTAGAGCAACCTAAAAATATCATACGTGTATTAGTTTGAATATATTATTTTGCTTTTGTAATAACTTAAATCTATACGTATTTTCAAATCCAAACAGTTATTTTATTGTACATTTTACAATATACAAACCTTATCTAATTTTACAATTCTATGTATTGATATAATAAAATCTTATTAAAAGGAAGCATACACATTACACAGCATAGGTTTATAATTGATTGAGTACATCTTTTAATGATTAGTTACTATTTTTTTTTTTCAATGTCATCAAGTGAATTTACAATATACCGTATTTATTTAGAAACTAGTTGGATCACATTGTACGTGGTCGTTGCTATAATATTATTCCTAAACATTTAAAGCCGTTATGGCCCAAACAAATGCACGTAAAGAAATACACGATAGTATTTAAATAAATACATAGTTCTTAGTCCTAGTTTAAATGTGTTCAGGAGAAGGGGACGTCATTGGTGACCACGTATGTATGTATTGTTATTTCGGTTGTCAGTTTAAAATTCTAATTTCAATTGTCATTTGTACTTTGTATAGTTAATAAATTAATATTGAACATAAATATATATGTTGTATATTTTAAGATATTATACTTAATAAAAATAATGTGTAAGTAACCGTCATATAATTCCTATTCGTTTAAATTCGTGGTAAAAATATCTTAAAATATATCTAAATATTTTGAAAATTTCATCGTATCTACGTATATATATATAAATGTATCTAGAAGTTTCAAGTGCTAATAAATAATATTTTTGAATAAAAAAAAATTTAATTATTTGATGAGTAATAATTGTTTCTTATTTTATCCACGAATATTCAATTTCGTTAAAATTTAAACTTTAGAAGTTCATAAAAACATTTAAAAAGACAAAAAAATCATTTAAAAATATTTGAAAATTATTTCATGTCTAGTAAATGCTAATATTAATATATTAATGGTAATAATTTCAAGTTCTGCTATTATTCATTTTCTAGTATGTTTTATATATATTCATTATTCCTATTAATTTCAAAATTTAATATTTTTTTATTAATACAGTTTTATTTAAATTGAATTAATAAAGAAAAATTTACCTATTTAATGTTTTTATTAAAATTTATATTTAATATTTTTTTTGTATTTTAGACGTATTAGGTTTATATATTTTATTATTAAAACACGTTATATTTTACGTTAGTATTGAAGCTATAATAATGAAGTAATTAACATTATATGTATTGTTAATCAATGGTAATGTATTGCTATTATTACTGAGATTATTTCTCGACAGTGATTAAAGTTAAGTGTATGTTAATAAAGACAGTATTAGAGGGAGAGACCGCTTTCAACCAAAAACGTATCCTTCGCCCTTTTTGGCTGATTCACTTTTCGATCAAATTTAAAAAAACACCGATTCCCTTTTCAACCAAAATCGTACTCTTCCCTTTTTGGCCAAAACAAAATTTTATGTAATGTATGTAAAATTTTGTTTTAGTCGAAAAGGGAATTGGTGTTTTTTTTTAACTTGGTCGAAAAGTGAAGCCCGTATTAAAGAGTTAAAAAAAAAAATAAATAAGCTAGACTTTTATTAATTTATATTGATGTGGTTCCAAAACCAACTATCTACCCGGAGCCTCAAAAGGTCTTAATTCAGGCTAGATAATAAGGGTTTCTAGGTACATTTGTATACGACATATTAAATTTAAAATTATACTAAGTAAAATTATTGCTATTATTATTATAAAAACTTTAATTCAAATATCAACTTACTTCCAAGAATTTCAACATTTTACCAGTAATTACAATGGGTAATTTTACGATATGACGCCAATTTAACCCTTTGGAATCTATTACAATAATCATTCCGTCGCACGTACCGTACTTCAATAGCATATAATTCATCCACATGGCGAGGTATTTGAAAAGTGACAAGTACTCGAACATTTCAGGATTAGTATCTTGGAACATCATAAATAGAACTCGATCATTTTTTTTAGTGTTGACAGTCGGCATTTGACAAATGCTCCTATACAAATCAAAAAGATAAAACTAAATTACCTATCTTAAATTTGTATAATCTAACCTAATATGTATTATTATATTAAGAACTGTAGTCTCATCCGCAAGCTAAGACTTTTGGAGACAATCATTTACATAATTTATTTAAATTTTATTTATATGTTTCTTTCAATGCAATTAATATATTATAACTATGATTATTAAATGTATATAAGTCGGATCTCGTCACATAAAACGTGTTTATTGCAAAAACATCAGATATTTTTTATTAATACATTTACAATGTAATATTATAATACTAATAATTCTATAAAACTTTGGAATAATTCCAAATTTTTAAACCTAGGAATAGTCAAAGCTTTTTAAACCATACATTCATTATATCTACATAAGGTTACAAGACATTTAGTAATTAGTATTAACTGATTAACTATAGTAATGGATAATTGGTGTTAAGTAAGCCCCGTCACTGGAGAGTAACTCAATATAATGTATGTGTTAAATTTAAATTTAATGATAAATTATTAAACGAAAAAAATGTTTCATTAAAAAAATTATCGACTATAGGAAAAAAAAAATAAAAAATAAAAATCTTAACTATTATTGTCAAGAATTAGGTATATCTGCAACTACATTATTATAAACTATACACAGCAAAGAACAAAAAATATCACCTACCAATCTATAATAACCATAATTATTCTACAATTGCGAAATTTATTTCATTCATTTTTTTTAACAAAATTATGTATTATGTATTATATACAGGAGAATTTTTTATGTAAAAGTTAAAACATTACTTTAGTCAGAGTTGCTACGACATTAAAAAATAAATATTTTATTTTTTTATAAAATATCATAATTTAATCACCAACGTAATTTATATTTGTATTTACATTTATTTCTTACATGGACATTAAATAATAACCTAAATAAATAATATTTTTTTAAATACACAAAATTTAAGTGGAAAAATAAGCATCTATCTAAAACATGAGAAATAACTCGACCAGAGCAGTTATTTGTCGTTATCTATCTATTTAAGAATAGACTAGTAAAATCATACTATTTATATTTTTTTACTAGTTTACATATTCTCTTCTATGATAAATAATTAGCATTGAGGTTGTTAACTCAACACGTGTAATAATAATACTTATGCATTATATGAAACGTAAAAAATGTTAAGTGATCGAACAAAAAAAAAACATACATATTAAAATTAATGTATAAAAAATATTCCTGAAAATACGGTCAAAGACTGAATACTACTTTTTAATTTAATACTATGCAGCATTAATGCATTACGCACATTAACATAACTACCGATATCGACTAAAATGCAAATCTTTTCAAACAAACGTAGTTAAAAATAAATAAGTGTACATAAGACACACAAAAATGACTTGTCAAAAATTTATCGTCACGTTTACGTTCTGCACAGTGTTCATAAAATTAAAATTTTTCTCGATGATATCTTTATCTTAAAGTATTAGACATCAAGCTGACAGTACTGAACACTTAATTATACTTACTTAAAATACCATTGTATACCTACCTCTTGATTTGAACTTTAAATGTTATAATCGTGACTCTCCAATATTGCAAGTAAGTAATCTATTCGTGGTTCAAGGCCATAATTTACAGGTAATCTATTACATAAAAATTATCTATCGAGCACTTTATTGTAACAGCTCTAAAAATTTAAGAGCTTCAAAAAATATTACTATCTATCATCATTAGTCGCCGAATTTAATTTACCGGACCAAAGAACGTGAAATCGAGAATTTTTAGTTATCAAGGAATACAACGAAAATATGGTTATAAATATGGCTTTGAATAATCCAATATCTTTTACTCTATGGCTAATTTATAATAATAATATATTTATCGTTTGATTATTCGATCCTGAACAATATAATATTATTATTAACACAAAAAAAAAAAAGTAAATAATAAATAATAATAAATTAATTGTAGTTGAATTACTTACAAGCAATTATAACTTAATTCTATATCATCGGCTAATGGATCCAATTCACAAAAGACTTGTGGAATTCTAAAATGAAACTGGAAATATTTCTTGATGGTATTTTTGGCTAATTCTATATCAAAATTACAGCTGTGTAGAAATGCTAAATATTTTTTGTCTGAAAAAAAAAACATTGATAATTAATTAATTTACTCAATTGATTTAATCAAAATTCTATATAACGGCTATAAATAACAAATGAATACTAATGAAACTATAAACTGTTGTATAAAACATCGTTATTACGAATTTCAAAGCTATAAAAATAATTTTAAACAACATTTTCTGAAGTTAAGACATCATTAATTTTTAACTCATTATCGGAGATCTTATCAAGTATTTATGTACCAACTTAATAATATATTCCTATTCATAGGAATATGCATATTCCTTTTTAAGTTTAAAACAACTTAACAAGTTTAACACAAATATGTAATTTAACATTATTAATATCAACTACATATCTATATCAATTAATAAGTAAAATATCATCTTTTAAAATAAATAAAATATATTTTAGTATAATTGAAAACAAAACTGTACAATGCACAATTTAATTAATTAGTTTAAAATAAAAATATTCAAAACAAAACTAATTTAAAAAACCTAATCTAATTATTTAACGCTTTAAAATTAAGTAAAAATAGAAAGTTCAACACTTGACATATTAAATAGATTATTTATTTAGATAGATACCCGTTACGGGTGCAAGAAAATTAATTATCATATAAAATTAATAAAATTAAAATGTCTCTGAAAAAATGACATTTAATTAAAGATAATATGTAAAAGATTTTTTGTCGTTGTCTTAAACGTTATTTATATGTGGATGTATGCAAAAATAATATTTATACAAAAAACAAATGTGCATTAATTTAATTATAATACTTAGTAAGTTTTAAGATAAACCATGTTAGATGTAATGAACAATCTTGTATGACTGTCGATCTCCACTAAAACATACTTAAGTCAAGAATAAGAAATACAATAAAAAAGACTATGACTCGATACTTAATTGTATACATTTAAAATTATTTTTATCAATTTATAGGAAGATATAAAATACTTTATCGAAGTGGAAATGATTACACTAGGTACTAGATAGTCATTGTTAGTGTTATGCAGTTGACTAAGATGCTACTAAAATATATGCATGCAGTTGTATACCAACGTTAAAACAATATATTTAACATATAAAATGTGTGTTTTGTTATAAAAATACTAAAATATGCAAAATTATTATGTTTAGGTCAAATAATAATTAATAATAAATATCTTAAATAAATCTTTGTGGAAATAACGTTTTTCCTTTTTATGTTATTCTTATTAATCGTTACTTTTAGGCTTTACCCGAATTGTTTTATAAAACATAGTTTAAAAAATAACTGCAATACAAGTCGCTTATAAGTGTGTACTTGGTATTATTTATCAGTGTTGCTGTTCATCAACACATACGACAAGAACTATTTATAAAGGTTTAAAAATAATATTATTCTTTTCAGAAATAAATCTATGAAAGTTAAATTACTAGGTTATTCTAAAAAAACAATATAAATAAGCATATATATGTATACTTAAATAAGAACAAATAAGTACGCAGTAATAAGCTTAAAACCTCAAATATTTAAAAAAAAATAACACTAAAATGTATAATAGTTTTGTTTACAGCTACAATAATTTTTAGTAACGACTATCATTATTTATTCATTATTCTGGCGCTAGTTTTACATAGAATTTCAATGCAGTTTTAAATTATATTTATTAGCTTGATTTAACTAATATTTTATTTATTTTATTATGCAGAACGGGTTTGTAATTTATTGATTGTTAAAAATAATTTATCATACTATGCACAATAATTATAGATCGTGACTCGCAAGCAAGAGATCGGTTTCAATTTTTTGTATTGCATTTTACACTTGTTGTTGAATTTAATTTACGTTTCAAAATCTATTTCTTATACCGCGTTATTATGGGCTTATAAGTATAGAAAAACCGAAAAAAAAATTATGTGCTTGCACATTATGCCTAAAAAAATTAACTGAACAAATCGAGTGTATATATACAAATATACACAACACGATGATTCAATAAGCAAACTCACTTCTTTTTGTTGTAAAAAAAACAACTTAAAAATATAGTGTAAAAATTGATGGTTTTCATATGAAAAAAAAAGTTTACATCGATAAAAGGACACTTTTTAAATTGCATAAAAATCTAAGTATTCAAAAATATAACTCCTATATTTATAAGCATAATATATCTTAGTCTTAGCTAGAGGGGCTTACTGGCTTAAATCCCTACCCGAAATGTAAATGACCATTTGACCATCGAATTGACTATGATTCTTTGTGAAAATTAAATCTTTTTTTCAATAAATATATAAGGCTCCCTCCTTCCCCTTCCCAAAAAAAACTGACACTGGCACTGTCTACAAGTATATTGTATACTTAAAAATTCAAAAATTCAGCATTTGAGTAGATTTATTACCAAATTAAATATAGCAGGGACGTGAATCGCCCTGTTTATTATTTAAGTACTAACCCGATATAGGCGGCAAAGTCTGATCGTCCTCTAAGCTCTCCTTTAACTTCTGGATGTTGTCAATCGTGATCTCCGGATATTTGCTCTGCTCTATTTGCAGGTATTCATTGAATGGTGTCAACAAGGAATACGCCATATCGATGAATTAACAATGCGTATTTTATACTAAAGTCACACTATATGAAATAAATAGCTATTGTGACCAGTAGTCACGGAATAAAATACAATAAATTGTTAGTTATTTGCAGTTGAACGCATAAAATTGGCGTGTGCGCTGCCAATATTCGAATGCTAAATCTTCTGATTGCACGTGAACCGCATTCAAAACCGCGATGTTACTATAGTAAATCGTGTAAGGTATATTAAAATTAAAATTTTCGTTTCGAGAATTACATCCTAGTCTGCCGAACGACTAAATCAGTCTGCGAGTCAATCTTTAACCAGTTTATCGGCATAATATAATGATATATCGCATAAAATACTATGTACCGACTTGAAGAAGGGCAAGGTCAACATGAACGCCGCCGCGATAATATGAACAAGAAACAATGGATTTCATTCAATACGTATAAAGTATATAAAATAAATATCGATGGATAAGTACCTACCTTTTTATCGAATGAATATATTATTTATTAATAGTGTTGCGTTGATTTTATAATATATATTTTAAGATTCTGAACGCAGCGTTAAGCAATATTGTATATTTTGTTTTTTTTTTTATATGTGTTTTTTGAAACATTATTTATAATAAAAAAATTCAATCATTAATTTTTAGATAGTATCTGAAAAAAAATTATGTCTACTGTATATCTAGGTACAATTTCATTTTATTAAAACTATTACCTTCGTATTCTTAATATTTAGGAAAAACTAAAAAAAAAAAAAAAAAAAGGAAACATAAGTATTTCAATTTATAAACATTTATAATTTTATGATTTACAAATATATATAATTTTATTTTTACATTTAAATATTATCCTCTGCAAAAAAGCTTATTATGTTTTAAATACAAGGTTAACTACAAGTTTTTTTAGTAATTTAAAAATATCAAGTTACCTATACAAATGCACAATTTTCTTTTATTTAGGTAACCGTTTGTAATTTTTAACAAAACTGAATATTTAAACAAAAAATAATGATTTTAATTATTTTATTATAATTTAAAATAATTTATTAGTTTAGACTTGAAATTTATATATATTTTTATTTACTGAATCTAATAAATGTTCAAAGTAATTAGATTAAATATATACAACTATAAAATATAAATGACTCATGTTATACATGTTCAGGCTGAAAAATATAATACTATGGATATAAATATTTCAAATTATAGATAATACATGAATGTAACAAACAAAAATTAGGTAAAACCAATGAAACAATACTTAACAATTATTATCACAAAATAATCAATAGAAATGCTTAAAAATCAATTTAATTAATCCACATAAATTCAATGCACGTATTTTAGAAATTATTTCAGTAATTTATAAATTATTCGTTTGTTAACCATATACTTTATTTTCATGCCATTTGTATTTTTATCCCAATTTACAAATTACTCTGTTTATCTTTAAGTACTAGATTATCCCCCCTTGGTTTAAAAATTGTTAACCATAACTCCTGTAACATGGAAAATTACTAGAAGATCGAATATAGATATCTAATTATAGACCAATACTACCAATATTATTTTAGAAACTAATAGAATGTGAACTTTCAAATTTTATCAAAAATATCTTCATTTAGTATTTTTTTAACTTATTCTATATTGTCTCAAACTGTAACCAAGTTAATACCATCTATACAGATTTAAAAAAGGTTTTTGCTTCAGTTGACCATAAAACTGTAAATATTAAAAATTTGATAATTATTGCGTACGGTTAAGTTATTTCTATAATGCATAACAATAGCTATAATCATGCTACTCTGTTAGAACGTAAATAATTAAAATGTAATACATTCAATCTCTATTCTCCACCCATAGTTCAATAGTTGTATCATTTGGTGTGCCCCGGGTTGAACATTTGTCACCACTTTTTTTGAAGTGTTTATAAATGATATATTTAAATATAAAATCAATTTACATTGTAAATATTTACTATAGGTATGTCGATGATCTAAAAATATTTCTTCACATTAATAAAATAAGTGATTTTTCTAAAATAGAATATTAAATGGTTAGCAGTAAATAAACAAATACATTTTTCCACAATTAAAATTATATTCGTCATAACTCTAAGTCTAAAACATCAATAATATTCCATTAAAAATTCTTAATTAAGTTAAAAATATTTAGGTGTAATTTTATCATCCGACTAATCACTTTACAGTCATATTCAAACCGACCTATACTAAGTCAGTCGAGAATCAAGATTTAATTAAATGTAATGTACATGTAGTACCATAACCCCACGAGTGCTTAAAAATATTTAAGTTTGTTTTAATCATATAATATGGAATCGAAAAAAAAAACTTAAATCGACAAAATTGGTCAAGTCCAAAGACATTTCCCACATATAATGCTGCATTCAAACTAAATTTGTTAGGTCAACCAGTTTATAGTGTTTAGAAAAGTTGTAACTTATTTTTATTATCGTGTTGTGATTATAATTATGTTCTATTTCTTCATACACTATTAGACGATAAAAAAGTGTTGTCTCAAATTGCTAAACAAGATTAATTTTCGTGTTCCACCCGTACATGTAGGTACAAATAATATTTTACATGTAGTAAAAATTAAAATGTTGTCCCTAATATTCCAATAAACCGTATTTATATGTTATTGTAATAGCCACTTATATAATTTTGATTTTTTCCTTTAATATGTTAATTTATTTAATCACCTTATACTTAATTTGTAAACAGAGTTATACGTTAAAACTTAATTTATAGTATTTATTTATAGTAATTTATTATATTTATATAATTTAATTTTTATTTATTTATTTACTCACTGCCCAATGGCCATAATGGAAATTAAAATAAATATCATTCTAAAAGATAAAATAAAATAATATTGTAATTAATTCAATACCTTTAATAAAAGACTATTATTAATAAATTATCTAAATTAATAAGTTGGTGTCTAATAGATAAATAGAAATAATAAACATTGAGGTAAAAAATATCAATAAATATTAAATATAAAGTTGATTTAAAATTTTGATCTATATGTATATTTAATAAAAATAAACACATTTATAACTCTAAATAGCTACTAATATTATAAAATAAACATAAACACACTTACGTGATATTGAGTGTGCAATATCAAGGGAAACTTCTTGTTTTAGTTTTTTTGTCAATATGGTTTCGCGTTCTAAAAATGTCTGTTATATTATTGTACAGACATTTTCGTAGGTACTAGGTAGGTAGTAATTGCAGAGCTGGAATTAACTTTATTATTTATTTGACAATACGTAAGCAATTTTTTTTTTTATTAGTGATCAGAAAAACATCAGGAAGTCGAAGCGATAATTTTAGATATATATATTATGGATATAATATTTATAAGATAGGTTTTTATATACAACTCATTTTAAAATATTTTTGGGCAAAAGTTAATTTTTTCTACCGTGTTAAAGAAGAATCAAAATTAAAATCTCCCATGAATATAAGTTTTATCTTTATGAAAATCAACGGATATGATATAAAATACAAAACAAAAATTCGAAAATAGTTCATTAACAATTATAATTTTATAATACTAGGTACAATATAACATATTATTGTGATAATAATTAATTAGTTCCCTAACAAGAAAATAAGTAAAACAAAATATTAAATGAAAATAATGTTTATATTTTTTTAGTGCTGTACTGCAATATAATCACCCTGTATGATGGTAAAATAAAAAAAAAATGAATTGTTAATTATATTCTACAGAAGCCATGTTTGTTTACATCTACTAAGTTACAATCAAAATCGTATTTCTCCATGGTTGAAAACATAAATATTAAAACTATGAAATATAAAAACGTATAGACTTGTTACGAGTAGTTTATCGCGTAAGATATAAATACCTAACCTGTTGCAGTATAAATGTACTAAATATAGGTACTTTGAAAAGATCGATTTAGTTTTTTTAGTTGTAATTTATAATCAAATAACCTTGGAAACTTGAAACGTTCACCAAATATTTATACTAGCAATCAATAAGCGGTAAAAATTTGATCGGTTGAAAATATCAAAAATATACGATGAAAACTTTTTTATACATTTGTTGAAGTTAAAAATTCAACAAAAATTGATATTCCAAAGTAAAAATAACAGTTCTTCCTCAAATTATTTTGGATAGTAATAATTATTTAGTTTTTTATTTTTCTAACGAGTATGCAACTTTGCAATGTAAATCATTATTTAAAATTAATACAAAATCTAGTTTTACTTTACTATATACTTATTCAAATCGGACGTAACCGAAAACATAAACAATACGAAAATGGACAAATTAAATATTAGATACACTAAACACTCGTTCAATATATTTTATCTACATACCAGATACCTATTGTGCTACTGATCATAATATGTAATTTTGTAATTTATTTTATATTCAATGAGTTAACATAACAATTTTTTTTAATGGATTTATTGTGCAAGTACCTTGTAATTAAATATTCAATACACAATTTCAAATTGATTGCGATAAACGTAAAAAATTGTCGCTAAAGCAAAATACTATGTTTAAGTAATGGTTCTTAATTTTAAACCACGTATAAATTTTAAAATTAAAAGACTATTGTCAATTAGTTCATACTTAGTTTTGAATAAGTTTTTTTTTTTATTATTAAAAATAAATTACAATATATACAAGTTTATTTACAATAAGTAATCAAGTAATCATAGTGATAATTTTCACTAACAAAATAAAATATATGTAAACAGGCTGAAGTGCCATCTAACACAGGTTAGAATAATTTTTAAAAAAAAATAATAATTTAAATATTTAATTACCAATTTTAATCAAACTGATAATTATAATTTTAACTTCAGGTTATTTAAACAAATCAATTCAGTTTTTACCTGCTTGCGTGAAAGTTATGACATAAAATCTTGCTAAACGAGTATGTTTATCAAGGCTGAAAAGTTACATGTTTTTTAAAATATTTGAGATTTTTCATACTTTATTTTAATTATTAATTTAACCTTCATGAAAATTTTAATATTGAGTTTAATACTTTAAAACTATAATATAGTATACATTACATTATAACATTGTTTCATAGAAATATTTTGACTTCAAAGTTTATGTTAATTTAAAATATAAACACCTGCTAAACTAGTTGATTCATTATAATTTTCAAATAAATATTAAATACTCTAAAATGTTTAACATAGCGCTTATTATTTTAACCATTATTCTAGCTACGGTTTATTAAAAAAAAAAATTATCTTAGATTGCATTATGTAAGCATACAGTATACACAGTAGTTAGTTGTTAGTATACGTTGAACATAGGTGAATAAAAGTATTGATATGGATATTAATTATGTAATTATAAGGTTCAATCGTGATAATAATTTACATTTATGTACAAACCATTCGACGTCAATCGATAAATAGTGTTGCATAAATATTTCTCTATTTTCATTATTTCTTGTAAGTAATCGTCATTAAGTACTGGGAATTTTTTACTTTATAATACACCTGAAGTAAAATATAAGATACAATTTTCTATCAAAAACCATTCTCAATATTGAAAATTATAGTGTCTTAAACAAGACGTCAGAAAAAACATCTACTATTGTAAATTCAACTATTTTTCGTTCCACTAAGAATCAAATAAAACATTTTATGTAGCTAAAAAAAAAAAATCTGAATATACCTGGACCTGCCAGACATAATAATATTCTCACTTTTCATAAGCAAAAAATAATGGTGTTTGTATTTTAATTCACTGTATAGTCTGTATGTAATTTAGATTAATAAATTAAAAAATTATATAATATTATTTTTCAAATTGAATATTTTTTATGTATATTTTATAACTTTTTGTTTAAATCTCATATTTTGTGGCCCTACCTTATAATTGTTGGCCTCACATTGTCTCTACCTAGAAAAAAATCATGACACCGCCACTAATTCAACTGCTGTTGAAAACAAAACATTTTAGTTAGTCAATATATAAAAATATATAGGAATATTTATTCTTACAGTATAAGCTTTTGAGCTGAGCAATGAATGTATTGACTTATTTATTTCTTGTTTTTCCCATCATGATTTTATTTTTGAAATTTAATACAATCGTCCAAAATAAAATGTTTTTCATTAAGAATTTTACAACAAAACTTTATACACGAGTGAAGTTTATTAAGTTTTTATTTTTATTATTATTATTCCAACTATATAATCATTTATAATTAATTATTTTATTATATAAAATTATTAAAAAAGTATACATATCTCAATTATTATAATTTATAATAATTATAGAATCAAATTACATTTTATACCACCTTAAAATAGATACATTAAATAATATTTGTAACTTAATATACCTACACAATATTTAAAAAAATGTTATTTAACAGGTCATTTTTTGTCATTTTAAACAAAAAGTACCTGTTTAATAATTCATTGAACTCCGATAGACGTTTGTGTGACCCATTATAAATATTATATCAAATTGTTTTTAATAAGTTTTATAATATCTACTAAAAATTTTAAGATACTCTAATAATGTATTTATATTTACTCCGCACTATGTATCATATATCATTTCTTTGTTAGCCCATTATTAGAAATGAAATTTAAGTACTAATTCAAAGACAAAAAAAAATCACGAGCAGAAAGCATTTGTTTATACGTTTCTTCTGCAAATACAAAAATAAAAAGAGATTAAAAATGAAGTTTATACATAGTCGTGCTTCATAAAACAAATTGATTTGAATTACCGCAATATTCATAATGTGATTTTCCGTTTCCCCCTATTTCTTGCGGCATTATATCGATGGGCATGTGATTGAAAATGTCTTTCGAACCCTCTGGAAATACTTTTAGCTAAAACACAAAACACAACTCACGAGTATGAAATTTGATCACAGCACAAATACAATGTTTAATCTATATTTATATTTACAGTACGATTAAAAGTAATTTTTACAGATTTAGTTATTTAATTATCGATACTACCGTTCTATTCCATTTTTTTGTGTGCTTCTTCGTGCATTATATATGGTATTTTATTTTTTTACTTGTAAATATCATAAATTTAGTGTATGTTTAACAAATTGTAATATATTTTATATACCTACTCAAATAAAAATATTAATGTTGATTTATTCATTTTTGTCTCTCACACAAAATAAGAAATTTTATATTAAAAACAATAGCATACGTATTTTGACATTGTATTTTTGCGCTTGTCCAGCATTTATGAATAAAATAAAATAAAAACGACTGAGTACTCACCAGGTTTAAAAGATTACTTCTCATAAATGGTCTGATTATATTAATTAACATACTAATTATCGTTCCAGAATTTAAAACATGCACTTCTTTAAGTCGCACCGGTAGTGCCTCCTTAAAAACAAAACAAACATAATAAAGTTAACATTTTTGGTTTTCATTTTTTTTTCTTAAACATGATCTGTTTCCAGCTAATATTATTATATTTTATTACAAGTTTCATTTTTCAAAAAGCCAACATATCTTAATATAGCTATATATGTATTTAAAACAATGTAGAATATAGTCCCTGATGTGAATTACAAAGTTAATATTGTTACTAAACATATATTTTTTACAAATTAAATATTGTATGTCATAAGGTTATAGGTTATACATAAAACAATATAAACTACGTCTTCGTTTTGGTTATTCACTTCAGGTTAAGATCATAATTACTAAGACATATAACTGTATAGCCTTACAATTTTTAGATTTTCATATGATTCATGATAAATAAAACGTGCATAAATTATAATATAAAGGGTCAAGAAGAATAGTTATTTATATTTTAACAATATATACTTTTTAGAATGTTAAAGAATTCCAAAATTGTTATAGACTTCAATAATAATAATTAATAACCTATTTACATTATTATTATTTACTAGTGATACCTATAGTAGTGCATTTTTAATATGATTAATTCTAAACTCACGACATACGACATATTACCGGCATTAGGCCAAACTAATATAGACTACACTCGTGGCCTGCATATTATACAATACATCACTTTGCAGAATAATTGTAGTAATGGTAATTTAATATTAATTTTTTATAATCATTAAAATATTAAAGTATTTACTATTTAATAAATTATAGAAATTGGAATGGTCCAAAAAATATTAAAACCAAACATTTTCGTTCTACGCACTTGTACGAATCCAAGTAATTTCTTCAATGTATTCATCGGCGTCTTGGTGATATGCCGCCAACATACGCCTTTGCTGTTCATTGTTAATACCACACCTTCAAATGTACCACTTGTAACCATTAAATATTCTAACATCATAAAAAAGTATCTACAACAACGCACGTAGTCGTACTCATCAGGGTCGGTATTTTTAAAATTTGTGTATAGAAGGCGCTCTTGTTTGCCAGTACTAGGATTTAACACTATGCAAATGCTCCTGTGTAAAAAAAATAAACCAAAAATTAATGTCCGTTATTTGAACAAGTAAAAATATGGAAGAACTGTATGTAAATAAGTCTATCGCGAGCTCTGTAGAAACAGTGTTAATATAAGTGTATTATACTCGTAATATAATAATTACGTATAATATAGGTACTCATAGTTTAAAATGTCTTTTTTAACATATTAAGTTTAAATAAATAATATATATTTTTAAACAACAGCAGTCGATCATTTAATTCCAATAATAAAGTGTTAAACGGCTTAAGTCAAATATTATAAAAGTAAGAAAATAATTATAAAACGACATTTTCTGCCTACTCAATGTCTTAAATTATGCAATTATTTTGGATGGCCGATCCTATGTATAATTGTTATGACATTTTTAATTATTGTATAAATCTATAATTTTTAATTCTAATTATTTTATAACATAATAGATCTAAGTTCGAGAGCTATGAAGTTATTAATGTATAACTATAATGTAAACTTAGATTATATTTTAATTTACATGTGTGGTATTCTAAAAATCCCTAATGTACCTATATACAACTATATAGGATATAGCCAATAGCCGTGTAATATAGTACTTACATATTATCGAATACCTGTTTCATCTCTTCAGACGACGGATCATAGTTTTCAAAAACTTGTGGCAGTTCTTTACGGTACTTGTAGTGAGTAGTGATTGTTTTGTACGCCTGATCGACATCGAAATAACTACTGTGGAGGAACATGACGATTAATTTGTCTAAAAAAAAACGACAAACACGCAAATTAGGTAATTGAAAATCGGAAAATGTGTAAAAACTTTTACGTACTTATACTTAAATTTATAACGAATTAGATAAATATATCATAATATTGTATTAGGTTGGGTTATATATTAATTATTATTATTATTAGGTATTTAATTCTATAACAAGTATAACAATTATTTTAAGTTGCTCCAATACTGCAATAGGTTAATCTATAAAACCGTACCTCGTATAGGAGGTAAGTCAGCGTTTGCTTTCAATCGTTCTTTTAGCTCTTCGATGTCTTTCAAATCTAATTCCGGATACTTTTCTTGTTCTGACTTCAGAAATTCTTCGTAACTTGTTTCCGGTTGATACATTTTGTTGGACCTTAAATAATTATAATAAATCGATTACATCACAAGTAATTGCTTATTGTTTTCTACAAACATATCGACAACATTAAAGTAAAACTTTAAAATTGTACACAGCTGTTGATAAACTTATAAGTAATGACGTAATTAGATTTTTTGACTTCTTCTAAATATATACTGTATAAAATATACATAGATATTTATTTAAACCATAATAATTACTATTGAACACAATATTATATTGTATTATAACATATTTAACGTTCACAAGTTAAACACTGTGTGTCAAGTTATAATATTTTATACATCAATAATAATTTTTTTTTTTAAACAAGTAATAGTAACTTTATAGTACTTTTAATGTCAACAAGAAATTACTCTTTTAATCTAAATGATAATTTGTATTCAGGTAGGTATAAAGTAACACATACTAATATAATTATATTATATACAGTGGGTTTAATGATGAAAATATTTATTACAAAATTTTAATTTGATTTGTGTTCTTAACTGTATAAAAGAATTATTATTGTATGAATTTTTGAAAAACTTAAATTTTCTTACCTTTTTTCGTAAATATGCAGCAAAACAATATATATAGGTTTTTTTTTTTTTAATTTTTAACTTATGCACGGATTTTCACATTTTTTTAGCATTCTAACTACGTTTTTTTAAATTTGAAACTGTATCAACTATAATAAGAATATTTTTAAACAATTTACTTATTTGTGAAAAAATTATATTATAAAAACTATAAAATAACGTAGGTATATACAATAATCATTTAAAACATTAAACAATTAATATTTAATACTTTTGTAGATAATTTTTACGCGGTCAATAACCTAATAATAGATAAAATTTAAAAGAACAAATTCACCTTTAGTAACATTATTATTTCTTCGAACAACTATTTAAACAAAAAATTTAATCGCATCTACGCAAATTATACTTAAACATTGAAACTTCAAAATGAAAGGTTTATAAGTTTGTATTAATTATCAGTTATTATTAGCTAAATTGATAAATAATTCATATAAAATAATACAAATAATAAAAGACAATCAGTTAATGAATCTGAGAAAATATTTTAAAAGTATAAAAAGATTAAAAATTAAATTATTGAATGTATCTATAATCCAACGTTTATCAAACGCGACTACCTACGCATACCCACCTTGTATTCAGAATAAGTATTATTTTTCCAGTTAACGATTAAAATAACAAATAGTCAGTATTCATTTTCTTCTTAATCCATTAATACAACGTGCGAGAAGAAGAATCTGCAGATATAGGATACATAAAAATAGTTATATATAGCCCAAAAACATACGTGTGTTAAAATTTTAGAACTTTGGCGAATTTTTAAAAATTTAAATTTAAACGCTAATAAAAAAATAAGCGAATATTTAACAACATTTATAGAAAGTAAATTAAAAATACTCAGTATAAAATCTTAAGAAAACATCTTGCATAAAATTATCAAGTTTTACACAAATTAAAAATACTATAAGAGACTTAAACTATAAAGTATTTCCGAGATTTCGCTAGATTTTACCAAAATAAAACTAAACAACAATAATAATAATAACGAAAAGAATTGAGTTTTGTACCGCTGCAATTTTTATCATAATTATAATAATTATAGGCATGTTTAGTTGCAATTGCCGGTGTATACAGTCTTAATTTTGTTATTGTTTATAAATAATATATTTCCGGGTAAGTTGCAGTAATAACTATAAAGTACCTACGTTTTGAAATCAAGATTCATGAATATAGTTAAAAAGGTTAAAATAAAAAAAAATACTTTAACCGGTTAGTGGTATACTGTTAAATTACTTAAGTATTATACCCATTATAATTATAATATAAAATAATCATTTCCGGTTTCATGTATGGCACAAGATATAAAATTCGCGATCCATCCGCACCGTCAAACGGACTCGTAAGTTATTCATAATTTATATAATTATAAAGATAGTAATAACACATATAAAACTCAGGGTCATCTATATAACATGTGTAAGAACCCGTTGAAAAAAACTAAAAAGTACATTTTTTTTCATCACAGCATAAATTTAAGTTAAAATCAATATAAATTTATATTTTTGTAAAACAGGTAATGATAATGAAGTAATTATATTAAAATCTTAATGATTATTAATACAACTATTAATATTACTTTAAAGAGATCGAAAAACAATTGTGAGATTTTGCAAAGCCTAATTTGAGACCTCAATTATTAAGATAAATCATTAGAAGAAAAATTACTGAATCAACTCGTTCCCGCGGCATGATATGCTTTGAGACGTGTTTTAATTACACTAAATATAATACTTTCGCGAAATAAGCAATAGCTGTAATGAAAATATGACAATAAAAAATACAATTTGGTTTAAACGTCGATAATTTTCAAGGACGGCCAAGCTCGTATAAAGTTAATAAGCACAAATGCAAATTTAGTCATTTTCTCACAGCATCTATATTATAATATGCAGAAACTTGACACCTGTAGTCTTTGCCACAGAACAGCCTTAATTCAATACGATTATAACACATTAACAAATATCAACGAAATATAATAAGAGTATAGGTTTGAAGGTTTAAAAAATATTATTTTAATTTTCTTACGTCATGCTGAAATATAACTACGTCTTAGTTATCGATTTAATTTCTTAATTAAGGAAATCCACTGTCAACACTACCAAATATGTCTTATGTCGTACGTGTGTATTGTACACAATAATATTATGCTGTAATTATCTGTGCATGTAATATATATTATATACAGGGAGAAAGTTTTTACTAGAAAACAATAGTTATTTTTAAAAATATTTATGCTTTTCACATAATTTTAAATCATAAAAAATATGATAATACTATAACCATTTTTTAATAGTAATAATGTTTTAAGTTTATTACTTTTTTGAATAAAAGCACATATTTTTAATTTCGTATTCCAAAGCAGAATATTTTTTCTGAAAATTTCTTAAAGAAGTTAAAAAACAGTTTATTAGTTACAATGAGCTATTCCACATTTAAACTCAAAAAGTTACAACTTTAGGTAATAGACCGTCTACTCATTCGAAATTCAATTTATTCACATAAAAGTATTCAGAAAAATATTTTGCTTCGAGACGTGAAATTAAAAATTTATTCATATTATCAATTCAAAAATTCAAAAATATAATACTTATCTTTTTAAACGATATTTCATAATTAGTTCAAAGTTAAAATAATTATGAGACCATTAACACAAAAGACCAAAAACATTATTTATGCTAAAAGAATCACCCTGTGGCCAATATGTACAACGTATAATTTTATAGAATAGTGCTAGTATGGACAAATATGTCACGTTTCTATAACCTCATATAGATACATCACTCATCAATCATTATTCATCACTTCATCAGTCTGTGAATAAAAAAGTACACAGGACGTAAACGCGCGTTCTCCGTCCTACGTGGAAAATTCGAATTTCTCCACACAGTTGTAATAGTTGAATGTCATGAATTTGTGAATTTGATATTAAAACAATTTAAAGTAGACAATTTAGTTTGTGTGTATGTATGTAAGTGTATATTATAACTTATTAAAACTTTAATTACCACCGTCTTTCACATTTTCACATGTAAAACACAGTAAAAACAAATTTGCGAAGATCTGGCGTATCTAATCATAAAAATGGATAAAATATGATTTTAGTGATAAATATTCCGTCATTATTTACCATTGGTTTTCTATAAATTAAAGAAAACGGTATTTTCTAAAACGTTTTACATATAGCCTTATTCATTATTAGTAGGTACTGAATAAGAATACATATTTTTCGATATTTTTTGAACAGTAGCTCAAAAATATGAGAATAGTAACTTTTTTTGTCAATAACTCTTTGTTCACTTTTTTTAATAAAAATTGAATACTCTGTTAATTAATTATAGATCTTCGTGAATTTTTTTTTACTATTTTATATTTCTATTTACGACAGACACAATAATAGTATAATTTTGTGACGTAGATACTTAAATAATATTTATAAATTATAAAAACAACCACGATATTACGGTAGTTTCATATTCTTTTTCGTCTGATTATAGCTTATAGAGTAATTATAGACATTTAATATTATACGTAGATATCTACGTATAATACTATACATTATACGCGTACGTGTACCTAACAATTTTATTTAAACATTAAACGTGATTATAGCAGGTACAATAAAGTATATAATGTTCGACTCTGCTATTCTTATTATAACTTGCAATGACGTTAAATAATTTTTCGTAATAATTTAAACATTTTTATTTTTATTTCAAATAAAAAATAATTATATATTAGAGTTACGCACTTATATCGCTAGACGTCAACAAATACTGAAAAACAACTTGTAAAATAAGTGGATATAATTATTGCACGGTGTATTAAATTCAAAGATGAAATAAACCAATTGCCAGTAACGCATTCATAAGTTTTTTATGGACGTTGGAATTAGATCCAACTTATATCCAAAAAATAAATAAAAGTAATAAATTATTTTTAATACTACAAAAAAAAAAAAAAAAAGGTATATAATTATAATTTTAGATGAGACTAGAACCCTCAATTGTAGGCATAATTACTCCAAATTTATATAATTATACACTAAGTGTAATAATATTATATTTTATGTTACGATTTCAACTATGTCATTTATATATAAGATACCTTATCCTATTACATATAACAATGAAAAATTAAATATAACAACTAAACGACGTACCTAAACATGTTTATTCTAAAATCAATTAAAAAATGATTTTAGTGTAAAAACGCGCAATAAAAATGTATAGATTATTAGATTACAATATTTTAGAAACCTAACACAGTAGTCTGTTGTATTATAGTACGTTATTTAGAGTGTGTATGGTGAAATTCCAACTTTAAAGGCTTATAAAAAATATTGTGAAATAGTATTGATAGATGTTCCTTTCCTTCGTATGTTTTCAAGTCTTATTATTCAGACGTTAATTAATTTACTTATTATATTAATTGTGTACATAGATTGAAATTTCTTTTTAGAAAAAATAAACAAAATTTTATATTTTTAATATTTTTTAATTTATAAAAAAAAAATCGAATTTTAATAACTCAAACTCTATATTACCAATAAATTAATAAAATATCCTAATATAATAATATTGATGATAACTTGACTATTTTATTTACCTTTAAATTTCGACGGTGCTGACAAAAAGTAATAGGTGTTAAGTAACTGGCAAACAAACACTTTACAATACTGCAATACGTTTATGCAGTGTGCAATACTCTCAATCAACGGTTGTGTGTTAAATGCCATGGTAGAGATAAAGGTATAGCTTAATGTATTTAATAATCTTCAATCAAACACCATTTTTCTGTACCAACAAATGAACTTTGAATTGATAGAAAATAAAACTATGTCACTATATTAAACAGACTTGCTTTTTATTATTATTTTATAGATTATGAATTAAAAATTAAAATATATAATATATTCAATTACTTATCATACATTTTTATATATTACACAGATAAACTAATCAAAAATTATGTAAGAAAACAACGTGTTATAGACTATTGATATAATAAACACGTCATGTTATTATTGTACTAAAAAATTATTTATAAATATTTTTTTTTTTTTATTGAATTAAAACACTCCGTAATTCTGGAGTCAATAATTCTCAAAATGCATAATAATAAAAACCTTTTAAAAATTAAAAATAATAATAAATCGATACTGTAGACTTGTAAGTAGTAGCTAATACGGGACTAGTGATAGTTTCTATATGACTTTAATAAATAACAATTAGCAATTTTTTTGATATCTTTTTGGCTGTTTAAATATATTATTTTTTAAATTCTTCTAACTATTGTCTTATTATTTTGAGTTTAATAAAAGTGTATACAACTTTTATCAAACATATTCGCAATATTATATTATGATAAATTTAAATAACAATAATTTCGAAATCCTAGTGTAATAGTTAATTATTTACAAATTAACGTAAAAATTATACATGTTAATGATTATCAAGAAGAAGTATTTTTAGCAGATTCATCAGAAACCATACAAAAATCGCTGTGTTGCAAAAACTAAGATTAAAAATAATATTATAAATAATATCATGTTAATTCCATTATACATGAAATGTGCAATACTAAAACTTCTAAGATAATATAATTTATTTAAAAACAAATTTTATGAAAACTAAAATAAACACAGTATTATAATTAATGGTTTTAGTGAGATTTACTTAAAAAAAAAAGTACCACAGACTTCGACAAGAATGTCAACCCAGAAATTAAAATATCTAGCAAGTATAGATTATATAAACATTTGCGTGTGAATTGTATTACGATCAAAGAATTATATAATCGAAAGCAAAAAAATAAAATAAAATAATATAATTTAATTTGATTGATAATTCGTTGTACTAAATTGTCATTATGGTTGGAAAGTTAGCAAAATAAATATCAACAAAAACAGCCTTGAAACTCTACTGTAATTTTTTATAACAATTAAGCATGTCATTGTAAAGGGTGTGTTAAATTTAAATTTTATATTTTAACAATAAATTATTAAATACAACAAATAGTCTGTATGTCCCCCTTTAATTCTAAGGATGCTTAATAATTTGTTTTTCTATCACAGACTGAATAGTTTCGAAATATTTTTTGTCAAAAACTTTGCATGATATATTTTGTTTTTTAATTTCTATTTAATATTTACCATGATGTATTCATGTTATTGGCTTCTAAATCAATATCGACGTAGATACTTACTCTAGAGTGATGTAAATAAATTTGGGATATAAAATATAAATAACTAAAAACGTACCAAAATACTTTGAACATTTCGTTGCGTAACTACGAAAAGTTTCAAATCTTTACGATTTACATTTTTTGATATATCTATAACAAAATAAATAAACCGTTATAGAAAAAAATCTTCTTTATTTTTATTTTTAAATATCTGAAATCTTAAAAATGTTAAATTCAAATTATAACTGTATCTTTGAATTTCCGCAAGAAAAAATCATAAAAATGAGACGCTCATCAACTTAAAAATAAACGTTTCAATAAATTAATAAATTCAATCAATAAATTCGTAATACTTGAATATTTATACGAGATGTTATAGTTTTTCTCGAAATCCAGTGGCGTACACTGGGTTGTCCAAATGTATCATTTGTGTTTTCATCGAGGTGTTTCGTTAAGAACGCCGGATTTAATTTCGTTATTACTTTATTAATATTAAATATTAAGAACAAAAAAATTATATGAGCATGAAGTATACACACTCCGATTTATGTATGGAATACAATATTTATAATATGATATTTACAAAAAAAAAAAAAAAACAGGTCAGCCAACTCGCGAAAAAAAAATTACTGGACAATAATTTAAATCCGGCGTTCTTAATGAAACACTACCAGAAAATCACCGCCAGGTTTTTGCACCACCAGAAAATCATTGGAATACCTATGATATTATTTTTAATTTTGTCGCTACCTTTTTTTGTGTAATATATACAAAAACAGATATAAAATTGTAATTTTCGTGCATGTATTAGACCTCATCAATTAAATTATTATTATACCTATCTATATTCAAAAATTGTGTAACCGCCATAGATTATTAGATTATTATCTACCCTATGGTAACCAAATTTATTTTTTTATTTAAATAAATATATTATGGAAAACATATAGTTTATTATTAGGAAGGATTGTACTTAGGAAGTTGGATTATCGGTGTGCCGGAAATTATAGATTGAGAATATAATATGCCTCTGCACCGCCAGAAATTGGGTTCGATTTACGTCATTGGCGAAATCTATAACGACTCAGTTAGAAGAATATATTATGTTAATAGCGGCAATTAGGTAGTTATATAAACAGACACGTGTGATCTATACGAAGTATATAGTATATTATGTTAAATAGTTATAGATACCTATTATTTGCAGTGGCTATGGATGCTCTAGCAGCCCGGTACCTACTCATATAGTTATATAAAATTAAGGAACTATTAAACTGACCTCAGTGTCACGGTCAAATTTACTATATTTACATTTTTAATGTTTACTCTCCGGTACGCTTGCACCTATATTTTCTTCGTCGACGTTTGGCTTTATTTAAATGATTTTGTTATCAAATTTAATTATTTTAATTTTTGGTAATAATAAAATCAATAACACTCAAGTTGGTAATTTATTCGCTATTATATTATATACTTTCTTGTATTTATATCATCGTTATGAAGTGTGCTCGTGTTACCGCTTATAACACCTAAACTGTTATGGTACACTGTTACACAATGTGTACCTATAATATCAATATACTTATTTATTATTTTATTAATAAACGCAGAGCATTAAAATTATGCTGTGTCTATCATATAGGTACCTACTTATTGACCTATTGTATTTATTATGCTATTATAATAATGTTATTATTATTAATGTACATGAGTTTATGATGTGTAATACATTTGTTAGGGCAAACGTTTTTTTCACAAAAATGCACTAACTAATAAAACATTGTTAGTTCAAACCAATACATCAAAGTTTAATCATTTTAAACATCATAAAGGCTTGTTAATAAAGAAAATAATATGTAATGAGTATTTATAGGTACTCTAATGATTTCTGGCGCCTACGCGTATAATATATGAACTAAAATAAAATAATATAGCCAATAAAAATGTCCGGATCAAATCAAACATTATATTATGATTTACACAATAAAAACGGTAAACACGTGATTAATACTATGGGTATGATTAGGTATGTGAAATAGTATAAATTACCTATATTATGCGTTCATTATTCAAGATATACCTACGAAATTATTTAATCATTTTAATCGATTTAATGTCAATTAAGTACCTAATAATAAATTATATTTAATAGGTAGATGCCTACTAAAATATCAATATTTTTTTTTCTAAAATCAATAATTCATTTATTTATATGTTAATGATTGGAAAAATTTGAAATCAATAATCACGAATCACGTCACACGAACACAATGGATATGGACGGGCAAGACTGTTTTTCACCAAAAACATACCCTTCCCTTTTCGACCAAAATCGTTCTCTTCTCTTTTCAACCAAAACAAAATTTTATCTAAAAAAGTTAAATAATTGGTATATAATTTTTTGTAATATTAGGGCAATTGTATGTCACAAACCTACTCATGTGGTTTAAATTTTATTTTTATATATATATATAATATTATACATACATATATTACATACTGTGACATATAAACATAAAATTAATGTTAATAAATAGATATTCTTGTATTTTAAATAATTTTCTACGTTTTATTCTACAAAATTGTATGCATTTTATACTTTTAATCATTTTCAAAATTATATAATTATATAATTGCTCTAATTTTATAAAAATGATATACCTACCAATTATTTTATTTTTTTACATATATTATAAAAAAATTTGTTTCGGTCGAAAACGGAATCGGTGTTATTTTAAACTTGATCGAAAAGTGAATAGTTGAAAAGAGAAGGGTACGTTTTTGGTCGAAAATGGCCATGTCCATATGGACTGTAGTCTGTAGGGTATAATATTATTTATAATATTGTAGTATACTAGCAGAGTAGGGGAGGTAAAACAATACAACTTTATAAGTGATAAAGAAATAAAAATTAAAAAACAATCCAATGTTATAAATATAATTTTGAGAATCCTTTTTAATTGTTCTATTATGTTTATTAATTTCCGTATGAATAAAATATATTTCTTGTTTTTTAATAATACATATATTATTTAAATTTTAGTTGGAAATATTTAAGTAAAGTTTTAGACAATACCTATTACATTATTTCGGCGTAAAAACGATTTGAAATAAATTCATTTTTTGCAGTTCCAAAGTGAAACAAACTTTCAGAAATTAAGGCTCCAGCACCCTGAGAGTATTAAAAAAATATCAAATACTTTTACTTATATAGGTATAGGTAATCTAATTTAATGTTATCTATACCTAATTATTTGCATAAAAAAATTGTACGTACCTACTGTATAAAATATGTACAATTATTTTATACAATATTCGTTATTAATTGATGGAAGTAGAAAATGCCAAATAAAATATTTTCATTGGTGTTAACTGGTAACAAATCATTATTGTTTACTACTTCAACACCTAAAATTAAACAACTGTCATCTTTACATGATTGTATAGATTATGCTAAGTGCTTAAGTTTCTAACAGTATTTCATTTTTGGATGACGATACAAATAAAAGGCTGTATTTTACATCATAGTTTATTTTTACATTTTACCCATAAAGTATAAGGCATAATAACAAACGGAATAGGTATAATGCAAACAGGATAAAACAACAATAAAGCATAATCTAGGTACTTACTTATTTAATACCTAATTAAAATGGGTTTCATTATTAATTTTTAACAACAATTTATAACTCTTAGTTACAAGATTTTGCAATAAAATTCAATTTAAATTCAATATTTTCAATCATAGGTTTTAATTATTTTTCATTTCTTTGCAGTGCTCACAAATAAATATTAATTTAAATTCCTCATAAGTTATAACTAAGTATAAAATACATTAATCTAACCTAATTTATTATAAGTAGGTACTGTATGATAGTAAAAATTAAATTAGTTTTCTAAAAGCTAATAACTAATAAGTAGTAAGTAAAGACCAAACGATAAGAATATGCATGTTTTTATATATTGTAAACCATAGCTTTAATAACAGAAAGTTTGGAGTTTTGAACAGTATAACAATAAATTCAAATCTGAAACTTAAAATTTGCTTTTTTTTTTAATCAATAGTTAAGTATATACTATTATACATATTGCATTTTAGCAACAAATAAAAGGTTTTTATAAGTGATTTAATTGATAAAAAGTCTGAAGGGGATACGGGACAAAGCTCCCACAAGTTCATAGTTGAAAATGACTGGCATGAACTTAAACATGTTGATTTAGTCATGTAAAATGTACCCATTTTCAATAAACTAAACACAAAACAACAATGATTCTCCGTGGGTACACAAAGTATCAGCAAATTATTTTGATTTATAAAATACACCTCAAACTGGGTATATTATTTTATTTTGTTTAAAATAAAAATTTCAAATAGAAATAACATAAACGATTTCTTCAAGTCAAAAAAAAAAAAAAAATAATTGGCTCAAGTTAATTGCTTTTGATTTTTACTCAGTGCAGGGCAAGAGTCATTTATGCATGGCTAGATCTTATAATTATCAACCTCTTATTGACCATATTTGGATAAAAATCGTGGCATTACTACTGATTATGACATATCGGTTAATTTAATACATTATGGCACATATTACAATGATTATTCAATACAATAAAATTAAGGCACAACCATAAATTAGGATTAGGACAAAAGTATCAAGTTCCTTAAGTATTGAAAAAAATACAGTTCAGTTAATATAAAATGTTCATATATTATATTTTGTTCTACAATTGTAACTAACTCGGTTCATTCATTTTTACTCATAAAACCAATTATCTTTGTTTAGTTTTTTCTTAATTTTTGTACAAGGTAATAATATAATCATAATCGATTTCCTGCATATTTAACACAATCGAAATCTTGTTTTTTAAATATAATTTAAACTTACAATTTAAGTCGGATATAAATGTATAATAATAGTGATATATAAATATTATTAAACCTTAACTCTCTATATAACAGCATAAATGATAGGCTACATACACACACACATACAAAAATATGTGTGTGTGTATATAAATGTATATAATTATTTATATTTAATTTAATTTACTATATAATATTAATATTTTTTATTTAGTTTATAATAATCAAGAAAGCGCACCAGGAAAAAAAAATAATAATAATAAAGAAAATTAAACAAAAAAAATTAGAGAGTGAAAAATGTTGAAAATGATAAATTCTTTAATTAATAATATAAAAAGAAAAAAATAATAATGATTGTCAGTGGTATTATTATTTTTTTTTTTTTATACGTCTAGAACGAGTTTTTAGTTTTACGTTCATACAATAAAAATAAACTGTGGTAAGCGACACAAGACGAAAACAAATTAATAATAATTATTAAAATTAATATAAGTAATACATACAATGTAAAAAATAAAAAACAAATTGGTGTTCATAATTGTCACGGTACTACAGACTAATTGACTCAACAATATTATATATTTATATATAAAAAAAATTATTCTTAGGTTCCATTTAAAACCAAAAAAACACTTTACATAACAAATTTATGGTTAATATTTATTTTTTTGCTTGGTATTACACACATTTAAAAAATATTCTTCATTTTGTTGTATAAAAATAAAAAATTGGGCACCGAATAATAATTGAAAACAATGTGAAATTAACTGTCAAACACACACACAGACATACACTCAACTTTATTGCATTTGTGTTAATATTAAAAATTATTTTGGAAATTTTTACAGAAAAAAATTCATTAACAGGCTGAATACTAGTGGCAAATCACACAGAAAATATTTTCTATTACTTATATAATAAGAATTTTCATGATAACTATTGATTATTGTTTAAGAATGAAAAATATTTTTTGTGTGTTTAGCCACTGGTTGAACATTCAGTCTTGGTATTTTAGAATATTAATCGGCAACTACAAATTACTAATAATACAACAGAAATAGTTTGAATAATATATTATATGTGCATACATACATAAATTATATAATTTTTTTTGTTTTAATATTTTTTTTTTAAATTTTATGTCAACAACACAATAATAATAATAATAATAATAATAATAATAATAATAATAATAATAATAGTAATAATAATAATAATTTTACAGACCAAACTGGTTATAATTTAAACAATTCTAAATATATGTATATATACATAAATATTTTATATAATAATGATAATTATTATTTGTTCAAAAGCATATTATGTACAATAAATAAATAATTTAATTATTTGGGCTCATTTTTTTTTTAAAAAAATAACCACAAGTAATTATTATATTTGCTTTTTTATACTGAAATCATAATTATTAAAAAACCATCACAGGGCAGTTTCCTCACTGAAACCTTAAACAAACTTGTAGCTAGTGTGGTAAAATTGTTGTTATGGCAACAAAAACAAAAAAAAAAAAAAAAAAAAAACAAGAAAACAAAAAGAAGAAAATCATCAGGGAGCCACTCGCTTTGGAAACGTATGCAAGAATAACTAGTTGAGATCAAACGAGGTTGTTCCCCCCGTGGGTATTTTTTCATCTTTTTAAGATTTTCAATATCATTTCACAAAATTAAGTATTTTTATTTTTTGCTGACCATCATTTGGTAACTTGGGTTAATTATTTTAGTCGCATGTTTACAACTAATATAATGACCTATTTAATGTGTAGGGTAGTAATTGAATAATAACTATTCGGCACCTCTTTCAAAATACACATTACAAGTAATTTATTATAACATTGTACCACGTAAAGTAAAATATAAATTACAATATATGCACTGTTGAGATATTCCATAATACTTTAACTCATTGGTTGGTAACAATAGTTTTTTTTATGCAAGTCGTACAGTAGAAACAAAGTGAGAAAGAAAAAGAGAAGTAGGAACAAAATGTCGTATTTGACATTTACCTTTCTAAATAGTTATAAAATACAATTTAAATAATATGTCTTTCAAGTTTTTAAGCTAATAGTAGAGTTATGTTATACAGCCTCTGCAGCTTTGACTTTGCACTGGAACTACATATTTTTTAATGGTTATTAAAAATGATTGTTTAATCATAAACAAAATTAATGACATTTTTTAAAAACTATACTTAAGAATTAAATTTTCTTATTAAAAATAAACTAACATTTTAAAAAAAGATGGAGAGTTCTGATTTAAGCTATATTGGCCGTAATGCAACTTTAAAAACAATGTGATCAAGTTCATAGTTATTATCACAGGCATTAAATATTGATCTAGGTCAAAGTATCAGTGTCTAACGTAGTACTATAAAAACGTTTAATGAGCATCAAGGAAATCAAAGTTAAAATCACCAAATGTCTGTTGTTTGTTGTTAAAACCATTCTTATTATCATTAGCGAGTGGCTGATCGAGGAAATCAAAATTGAAATCACTGGGACTAAATGAATTACGAGGCGGTAATCCATTGTTAGTATTTAGCATAGCTGTTGGATTAGCAACAGGTGCAGGTTGCATTGCTGTGCTTGTCGGCTGGTACTGCTGCTGATGTGGATTTCCTCCATAGTTTGAAGCCATGTTACGTTGATACGGATTGCCAGTATTCATTGTTGCTTGTTGTTGTTGCTGTTGGGTGAACGACTGTTGTTGCTGTGCTCGCATCATGGACGGGTGCTGTTGAGGCGTAGGCTGTTGTTGCTGATGATGGTGTTGTGGATGTTGAGAATGTTGTGGGTGTTGTGGGTGTTGTGGGTGTTGTGGGTGTTGCGGGTGCTGTGGATGTGATGGATGCTGAGGTTGTTGTTGCTGTGATTGCTGAGAAACCATCTGTGCATTACTAGCCATACGACTTTGGCCACCTCCGCCCATCTTAACATTCATCGCTTGGGACATATGAAGATTTACTGACATCTGAAAACATTTTAACATTAAAATTAACTTTAGTCAAGGTTGACTTTTAGATTAAAATTTCTAATTTTATTAAAATTTTGGAAAAATAAAGATATAATAATAACACCAATTACTTGATTATTTTGTGACTGCATACTAATATTGGCATGTTGTTGTTGTGTCATAGTTTGTTGTCCATTAGCCATTCTAGCGGACATGTGCTGCATTTGTCCAGCCATCAAGTGAACGTTATTTGGTCCTGTTTGGCAAGCGTTTATGTTTGGATTAGCACCACCATAACCTGCACCAATATTGTTTACTGGATTGTTACCCGCTTGATTTAAATTACCAACTATAACAAAAAAAAAAAAAAAAAAACAATGTATTAGGAAAAGACGAATAATATAAATAGTACTATCGATTAGTATCGATAACCATGATAAATCAGTTTAAGTAATTACTTGAAGCTTGGGTGACTGATGGTCTAAATTGATGCTGTTGGTGCTGGTGTGGTTGAGATTGCTGTTGTTGTTGATGTGGTTGATGTGGTTGATGAGGTTGTTGTTGGTGCTGCTGTTGTTGGTGTTGATGTTGTTGCTGTTGCTGATGTTGTTGTTGCTGTTGTTGTCTTGCCGCTAACAGTTGTTGCCAATCACTATTAAATGCTTCTGAACTGGGTGTGACATTTGGTGGTCGTTGAAGATTCCCTGAGCCCGGGTACATCATATTTCTTTGAACTGATGACATATTACGATCGTAGCCACCAGCCATTGGACCTCCACCACCAGTATTAGCCATTTGTGATCGTAGCATAGGTCCTAAAAATGCATTTAAATCATTAATTTGTATTTTTCAAGTTATTAAAATATAAATAATTTTCATACCCGAAGGTGGAATAGGTTGTTGTTGTATAGGGCGTCTAGATTGAGCACCTTGAGGTAAAGACTGCCTGGTTGATGGTATATATCCTTGTGCAGGAAACTGGGTTTGGCACATACCCATATTTTGGGCAACATTTAGTTTGTATTCAGGAGGAGGTGGTCGACATCCACCAGGACCCATCATATTCATTTGGTTCTAAATACATAAAAGAATGTCAACAAAATTAAATATAAGTTATGTTTAGAAAGTAATAACTTATAATAATAATCAATGTTAGTGTACACTTACGGGTGTCCTATTCATGTGCTGAGGTAACATGTGATGTTCATTAGTCATATTGGGCTGCTGTACATTATTTGGTGGTCGAATATTGGTTGGACTGGCTCCTGCACTAAGCAGTCTAGCACGTTGTTGTGAGAATGTCATACTCTGTGACTGAGTCATATGCATATAGGACTGTTGACCGTTGTCTCCACAATTGGAATTATTATAGTATTGCTGCATGGACGCACCACAATTTGGCGCTGTTGTCGAAGCGACTGAAGCACTGGTCATAAGTCTCTCTTGGATGGCCTGCCCTTGACCAAAAGCCTATAATAAATAACATAATTAGAATTTTTCAAAAACGATACCATGACATAGTTAATACAACTCCATTTAAAATTATTTCAATGTAATTTTCATTATATACACGGACATTTGGGATAACAATTGGAAAATTTAATTTTCAATTTACATCGCCGGTTGTTGTACCTATATACGTGACCCGACGACTGCTGTCTATTGAACATAATATTTTCGAAATTGATAACTTGAAAACGTAACCAAAACACGATTAACAACAATAGTACTATTACAATATCGTTGCAACAAGTTAAAAAATCTACAATGTGTCAATGTCCGCATTTTATCCAAATTTCAGGAGTTAACGTCAATAGTTTTGAACCGTAACGATATCTTGTCGAAACACACACAAGGCGAACAGTGTCAAACCTTTTTGTGTACCTAATAGAAGTTTACCAATCGACCGTAAATAATTGAACTGGGCGAGGTTTAATGGTCTTCATATAATTAGTTTTCATTTTCAACTAATCGTATGCAATGCGTGTGTTATTAAAAATAAAAGGAAGAATAATAATAACAACACTCTAAATTACACCACGTAACACGCTAATACTAAAACAATATTGTCATTTGTTTCAATGATTATTATTTATTACCAGACAAAAACAATAATTTTATTATAATATGCGTATCGTTATTATTTAAGAGACTACGCAGTAACTTAGACGACGCGAGGTATTCGAAATGATAAAATACTATAAAACATAATAATAAAATAATATTGAATAACCTATCATATTATTACTATTATTATTATTGTTATTGTTATTACAATTATAATACGCAACGACCGAATACGGTGATAATCATTGGGGAAAAGACGATATTGTAATAATATTGTACATTATATAAGGGAAAATAAATCGAGAGAAATGTTTCCGGTTTGTTTCTACGTGAACGCGGGCAATAGTGTAATAGTAAAACAGCTTGGCGGGAAAAAGAGTGGACAACGACAAACACTATCACCGGCGAGTCCGAATAAATATAAAATAATATGTTTTCGATCCAAAACACACGAGCGCGCTTTTTTTTAATGAACCGATCGCCATCATACCACATCAAGGACGGGAATCAAAAATTATTTCTTTATTTATTTTTATTTATTTTTTTTTTTTTTGGTATTGCGCACCTGTGGGAATTAATAAAGGATGGAAAAAAAATTATCGGTATTGGTTTCGATATTCCGACGGATAATTATTATCCTTGAACGTCGCAGGTTAATTTATGTCAACGAGCGAACGTTGTGATGTTTGTAGGTAGGAACGACGATTTTTGACCAACAGTTTAATAAAAAAAATTTTATTTTTTTTTTATTATTCCTAAACGCGACAGACAAATGGTAGTCGCGTTATTATAATAAATAAATGCAGGAAGTCGACATTGTCTTGCATAATAAGCCATCGATGGCTGTAACGGTGGACGTGACGATGGTGGAGGTAGTGGAGGTAGTAGTGACTGGTGGTGGTGATGGCAGTGACGGTGCCCGCGCGCCATATACACCGCGAGCATAATATAATACACGCGCGTTACAAATATTACACTGTTGCCAACACATACACATACACATACACACACACACGCACACCCGCCGCCGAAACTCGGATGACACTTGGATTTAATTAAAAAACCATTACGCAGGCATACACGGTCCCCGCGCAAGTCTTTTCCTATGAGTATTAGTACGTACGCTTGTTACACGGAATCTTGATAGACTTTTGAAATGCACGCACGTGTCGGCAACACGGCGGCCGTTGGATCAGAGGTTTTTACTCCAGTGATGTTCATTTTTTTAACAGCCAAACTATTTAGGCCAAAATAATTAAGCTAATAATAATAATTCTAATCGAACGGGAGACTATACGTAGTGCGAGGAATGACGAGAGAGAGAGAGAGAGAGAGAGAGAGAGAGAGAGAGAGAGAAAACGAAATGTCGTGTTGCCGAGTGCCCTTCCTCCCTCCCACCACGAAATCCTTCTGTCGCTGGGGCCGAAGTCATGATGACGGCGACAGCGATGCGATTAGACATTAGCACGGCCGAAACGTGAACTATTTTTCTCTCTATATATAATATGCGTGCGTTGAATAACTGCTGTTACTTCATCCGAGAGGAGAAAGCCGACACAGGAAGTGGACTAGAAGAAAAAATAATACACACAAACCACATAGTGTACACACGAATAATAACATCGCGACGATATTACTCGTGTACCCGAGATACACAATACGAGAGTTGCGCGTACACCAATAAACTTTGGATAACAGTATGGAATATTTGGTCAATTCAGGAGTGAGATGTGGAATACGACGGGGGAGGATGTGGGAAAGAGGTGAAGAGAGAAACGCGTGCGGATTGAAGAGGTATACGCGTATACGACGAATACACACAACGTTTCGCCCACTCGAATCTCTGCGATGTTGTATCGATAATAATATGACTTTCGAGTGGATAACACAGCACAACACACCATACACGAACAAAACAATATTATTATATAATGTACACATGGACCACCACTTGAACGAAAAGTATACCTAACAAAATTACACGACGGCGACAAATGATCTTAATCGTTTTCATAGCGGACTGAAGTATATTATTATTTTGGTAAACATTACATGATGTATTGTTACTAAATTTCGACGGTTTTGTTTGATGTGTCGTGGTTTTTTATATTTTTTAAAATTGGTAAAACGGATTCAAGGGCCGACGTTAAATCGACTAAGTTAGCGATCAAAATAATAACGTCGACAAATATTATAATATCAAAAAGAAAAATAGTTAATAGAATGCCACACCCACATATTATGTTGTCTCAGTCTAACAAACGTACGGCAAAAAAATCTGTAATCAGCTGTTTCAATTGCTGGTAATAACTTTTAATAAAAGATACAATTGGTCTGATAACAAATTTCAAGCTAAGATCATCTGTTTTCTCGTGGGATTCAACAATAAGAATATTTCAATTTTTAAGCGAATTATGACTATGTAAAATATTAAAATTAAAAAATTCTCATTTTGCTTATAAATTAAAAAATTGTAAAAATGAATGAAAAAATACGGATATTATTATCTTAGAATTTAATAATAGGTCAATTCAATGTATTATTATATATTATATAATACAATGTATTATTATAATATAGCTTACTACACAAAATTGAAATTGTTGAATATAAATTTACGAAATCGTATTTCGGAAAGACAACACATGCGGTGTCATCTTGATTAATTGTTCACATTTTATATAACCGTTAATTACCTGTTGTTGGCCTTGTTGACTGACGTGCACTTGTTGGGACTGGGCCATTTGGAACGAGCTGGTTACCACGTCCGGACTGGCGGCGTTAGGCTGCTGCGGGGACAAGACGCCCGCCGAGGCTGCCCCCGGCGACGGCGTTATCCTGCGGGCCGCCGACACGGGGTACTGAGGACTTCCGTGTCCGTTATACTGGTTGTACCGGGACTGGGGCGATTGAAGGGGTTGCTGTTGCTGCTGTTGGGACGTGGGTGGCGGTGGCAACTGTTGTTTCTGTTGTCGCTGTGCCGCTACCGTCGGTTGCTGCTGCTGTTGCTGTTGCTGTGGCTGTTGCGGTTGCTGCTGCTGCTGCTGCTGTTGCTTCATTCTGGGCTTGGGCGGTTCTTGGGGATGGTAATAGTTATTGTTCTCCTGCTGTTGCTTTTCTTGTTGCTGCTGCTGCTGGTGATACATAGAATTAACCGGTGACATCATGTTATAACCATTCGGGTTGGGAGTGCCCGCGGGAGTGCTAGGCGAGTGTATAAAGTCGGGCACGGAACCGGGTGACTGGTAAGGGAAATCGTAACCACACTTCTCCGGCCTCTGCTGCTGGTTGTTGTGTTGTTCGGCTAACTGTTTTAGCGTCTCGGCGGCAACGCAATTTGAATAATTATTGTTGCCACCGCCGCCGCCGCCACCACCACCGCCGCCACCGCCTCCAACACCACCACGCTGTTGCTGCTGCTGGTGTTGCTGCTGTTGTTGATGTTGTTGTTGTTGCTGTTGGTGTACTTGCTGCTGCTGGTGGTGTTGGTCGTAAGGTGATTTAACTGGTGGCGTGCATCTGGCATCGGGTTCAGTCTTTATGGACCGTTTGTCGCACAGATCCACTTGGTTAAAGTCGGCAGGCGTGATGCCCTCACTGTTGAGATCAGATATGATCTCGGTCAACGTGTCTGTATCGACATCTAACATGGGTTCGTTGGTGTTATTATTGATGAATGACAGGTCATTCAAGTCACCGTCACCTGGGAAATCCATCAGGTCCGGTTGCTCTTGCTTGCATTCGTGCATCGGGTGGTCGGTCGGCGGACCGGCCGCCCCTGCTGCACTTCCTGCCGGAATTCCACCACTTCCGGACGCAGTGGGCACTGTACCACCTCCCGCGCCCGGACCCCCGCCTGCTGACTGTTTCGTGGTCACGTCGCTCTGCACAGACGTGTTGACTGACGTGAGCGTCAGGTTGGTGGAGATCTGAGCGTTGTGCTGATGTTCACTGGTACTAAACTCGAGTTCCTGCACGATTTTCACACTGAACTTGGCATTGTTACTCGCGTCATTTTTGGCATGGGGAGACTGTTGCTGCTGCTGCTGCTGCTGTTGTTGTTGTTGTTGCTGCTGTTGCTGTTGCTGCTGCTGTTGCTGAGCACCGCCGCCAACTCCGTTGTTACCGCATGGCGGAATGGGTACGCACTTAGGCGGCGCTGGCATACCGTCGTGGTATACGCCATCCGAACCATCCATGTCTTCACTGGATGGTCGTTTGGTGCCAAATTTCTGCAAAAATAGAGGGAAAAAACGTTTTAAAGACTGATGATAGTTCACATATAAATAACACGAAATTATAATATTTGTGCGCGCGTATTGTTAAAAAAAGGTATGATACGGTGATAAAGTTCGAAAGTTTTCTTGTTATTTGGCAGTTCCGGAACGTGACCAAAGGACATATCTAACTATTATACTATTATAGTGTAATAATACTACTTTCACCGTGAATGGACGTAGCGGTCGTCGTCGGGGTGAAGACGACGATGTCGTTCTCTATATACGAATAGTATGTATATAGTAATAATATATATAACATATAAAATATAAAACCGTAATTAATCCATAAATGTTTAAGTCGTAGAGATTTTTAATATATAGATATATAGTGAACGAAGAGCGAGATTTAATTAATGATTGAAGAGTTATGCAAAACGCCAAAGAATGTTGGCCTACTTTTGTCACAAGCGTGTATACTGCGTATAATCATACACACAATGTTAGTATACAGTGTTCCCCAGTCGAATGTCGAAACGCTGTGTAGCAATGGACACTATCGTATACAACAGTTAGGTATACGTATACAGACACAATACTTGGATCACGTTTAGGACATATATTATTCTAGTGTAAATGTTAAATTTTTTTTCCCCATCATTAGTTTAACTACTCGTTAACTATGTTAGGATAGACATTATTGAATTACTGAGCAAACACACTAGAGGACGATTGTCTTATTATTATACTAATAACGTACCGGTAGCATCAGAGCTGTTAAACGGTCATCAACCTGTATCTCGACAGAAGCGGTAGTGGTGGCAGCGGTGGCCACCACTACATACAATTTTCTAATAACTAATAAGTCAATTTCTTACGGTCGTCCTCAAAAATTTTGATAATAAAAATTTATCATTCTGCTATGTTAAAGTTAAACACCAAGATTTTGAATAAAAATTATTTTAAGCACATTTTAATATTCATAATACGTAGGAAGTTCGTTAATAATAAATTTAATTTTATAATGTCGTTAAACGACACAGCAATGATCCTGACGCCGTGATACGATAACCTACCTATCAGATATAACTTGGCGAGAACGATTTTGCGCGAACTTTTGGCACCATGAACGGTTTCTACGAACCGCGTTGTCAGTCATGTCAATATAAACCTGATAATCTAAATCTCTCTCTCCTCTTTCTCTCTCACTCACTCATACACACACACACACAACACATACATATTTTTATCGAAAACCTAAGTAGGTCGCCATTAAAATTCGCATATTCATTCACCAGACACACATACATATACACACACCAGTATACGACCGTTACCTCGCTGGAAGGTTCGTTTTATTTCTAAAGTGTATATAAATATCGTAACACGGTGCAGTTATTGTAATACGTTCAGCATGTATGGTCGTCGCGAATGACGCGGACGCGCCACACACAGACACCGTAGTATAGCTATTTAGTATATATACTTATATGTATATATATATGTGTGTGTATAATATACACACATACAACTATAATTATAATATATATGTATAACAGCAATACACTAGTAACGCCGCGCAGGGGTTATCAATACCGGTCGACGGGCGGCAGACTTTTCGTCTTTATGTAACGCGACGGCGGCGGCGGCAGCGTCGTCGCCGTCGTCGTCTGTTCGTCAACCCCACTCACCCGCGCGAATATATATATATATATATATAGTATATGTGTATAGGCCCGACGGGGTGAAATCCGATCACTATACATGATATTTTACTAAAGACGAATATCAGATAATTTAATTTCCGTCTACCGTAATGACAAAGTCTCGCTCTACCTCGGGGTCTACACACATATATATATACATATATATATATATATATATATATATATATCTTACATCAATCAACCTCTATAACCAAACATACCGATCGACGAACATCGCGCGCGATGTGTCCGGTCTAATATTGTAATGGTAGAGGTACGGTTGAAACGAGTCGACGACGACAATATTATTATGGTGGGTACTCGTAATATACGTCGTGATAAACGAAACACGGTTACGTGACCGAGACGCGCTTTTTCATTGGTGCGCGCTAATGGATTTTCCTATACCGTTTTCCGAAAAAACATGTTTTTGCGGAAATTCGATTTAAATTCGAAACAAAAAAAAAAAACAAAAAACAAACGACGCGTGCCTTACGCGGTTACGGTCCTCGCACGGTTCGTCGTACACGCGGCACCACACGTGTGGCGTCATGTGGTCCGTCGATCCGTCCGGCGTCGTAGTCGTTTCTCGCGGGACAGCGCAAGCGTCTTGTGCGCATCGGCCGTGTGTCGACATCTCCTATAACCACCGCCACCGCTACAGCCGCCGCCACCACCGACGCCAAAAAACCCCGCGCGCGACGCCACATATCGTCGCCGAGACAATGTCGCAAACCGACGGCACGACGACCCTCGCGCGCTCACACTACTGCATCGCGAGCGGTGTGGGAAAGCGTTGACGCGCGCAACGCTCGCAAGTGGCCGTCGGCGGCGGCTGCGACGCACGCGTGCGCGCCCGCATCGTCGTGTCGCGCGCGCGAGCGATCGACGCCAGTTACGCGCCGTCACGAACATGTGGTGGTGGTGGTGCCGCCGGAATGAAACAACGTGTTTTCCAGCCTAACCTTTTCGCACCTCCCCCATTTTCGTGTTGCTTTGAGGTTTTGGGTTTGTACGGTCTCAAATCGTCGCTGCGAAAACGTCCGCGTCGTCGCTCCAGTCCCGACGAGGCAACAAGTTGCGCCCCGACGACGACGCCGCCCGTTGCTCGACCACCGCGATACGCAGTACCCGGCAATTTTATTTCTTATATTACTCGCGTTCAGTCTGAGATTTATTTTCTATATATTTCCCAACGATTCTTAAACTCAACAGTACACTATATTATCGGTAATTCATCTGACGAAAATGTTCATAGTTTAAGGTGATAATATCTGTTAAATATTCTTTATTATTAGTTATTATTTACTGTACTGTTATTTTCGACCGCCTGTAGGCGATGGTGGTGGTCGATGCCTCTCCGATGTTATCTAGTTTCGATTTTATCGTTGCACCAACTGTTAGAAAATACTCGTTTTCTTTCGGTTTGCCTACTCAATAATATAAAGACTGATAATTCGATACATTGCGATTACTGTTGACTAGCCTGCATTGTGCTCGTTTCTGAAACGACTATTGTACTAATAGTTAGCCAGGACGGTTGAAAGTGAACGTCATATGATATAATCCGTGCGTTTATATATTTGTCTGAAATATTATGTTGTTGGTTGGCCTGTTATATTCCGCGCGATTCTGATCGAGTACGACGACAAAGAGCAAATAACAACGTTTAAAAACGTGTGTCGACAATTTCAATTTTCCTTTTAAATTGATATCGTTCCCACGCAAATTAAAACGTTAAACGGCGTACTCTCATCAATCACAAGTTTTCCTCTTCCTTATGTGATTTTGCATGCACGGTATCATCTCTTAACACTCTAATGACCCCGATACTATAATATTGCCTTATGAGTTTCTTACCATTTATTTTATTTTAAATAAATCCGTTATCTATATTCAGCATTCTCGAGATTTCCTGTTAACGCGCACCCGTTAAGCTAATAAACTATTACCTACGAGCCATTTTGTATGAATCAGATAAGACTTGAAAAGTCCTTCAACTTGGGGTTGGCTAATATCAATAACTGCACTGCGTTGTTCGACAACACCCCAAGAAAATAGCTATGACTCGATGAGCATTTGTGTGGTATTAGTTGGGACAACAAACATTGATGCACGTTGAATATTTTGCAGTGAGTTGGCGGGTGAGACCGATCAGTGTCAAAGCGTTGGAGTTCAATATTACTTTAGATTGTCAAACATTACTAATAATAAGCCATACTCTGATATGTTGAATTCGCAAAACATATCATGTGTTGTGATGTATACGAACTAACTAATTAGTTCAAAATTATTACTTATAAGTTTATAATTATTTATTACGAAACTCCCGTTACAGTATTATTTCCAAAACAAGTATTACCAACTTATAAGCAATACAATTCCTCTGCAAATACCGTGTATTATACGATAAATTCGATGAACTGATTACGTAATATCGCGCGCATCATATATACGATTTCATATACGAAATCGATTGCTGAAAATATCGGCCAGAATGTCAATTGGTATTCTTCAGGATATAAGCCATGTATATACAGTCTAGGAGATTGATTCTAAGGTCAGTGCATTCCTCGGCTTGTGTCCGTGTTAAAGTCAACTTAGGCTGTTTCTTCATAATGTTAACAAACGATGATGTTTTACATAATAAAAATGCTAATCTTTTCGAAAAATCATCTTGCATTACGTACATTGCGTTTGTCATCCCGGCACACGTCGGTGGTGATTTTTGTTGTTTCAGGTGTTTCAAACCCTCTGGATTATTCGTACGGCGGCGAGCAGCAGGCGCATGAATCCGGCAAGGTGAGGTGGCGGCGGGGTGACGAGCGCCGGCGGGGGTGATGCCACAGAGTCGATACCGATCTCATGTCTCTCTCCTACCGCCGGTTCGGCGTCACGCCCTACCGCCACCGTATGGCGTGTTCCAGCTCATATAATATCGGTGGCCGGCGCGGGCGGCGGTCGCCTCGCTTGCGCCATACCACCCTTCCGCGTCCCCTCCTGTGATTTTGATGTACATGCCGCCACCCGTCGCGCGCACGCTATGTCCGCGATGCATTTCGCCTGCACGCTCACCTTCAACCCACGACTTCCGCCATTCCCCTCGAGCGCGCTTCTGCGGCCCATTATAATATGTTTGTATGCGTATGAGGTGTGTGTGCCATGGTAGCTTGTTGTAGAGATTATATACACAACTATATAATAGTGCGGAAAACAGTATATAAACCTATATGGTGTAACCTATTGGCGGGATGAATTCCCGATAACGC